ATGCCTATATACATATCTTAATTAGACATAATCAAAGTTACGACGTTACGAAGTTATTTGATCTCAATGGAATCGATAATCGATAACAACAGTGTGAATTGTAATTTGTAAAACGATTACGGCCAGGTAGTCAGTAGTTGGGACTCAATTTACCTACTACTTTTTTTTCCCGGGACTCAATTTACCGCTTTCAAAATGTACACAAAATATTGCGGACTCAATTTACCTAGCCCCGATTAACCGTCACTGTCGGGATCGGGACTATGACGGTCAATGGAAGGTGGTTAACAGAAATTTTGCAATAAACATATATTTTTCACTTGGATTTTAAGAAAAAAATGTTACACATATATACTAAATATTACATACAATACTATACACTACTAAACTTAAAATAACGATTTTAAATAAAATAATTTTAATTTTCTTTTGTTTTTTTGATGTTTGAGTTTTTTTTAGCTGCAATACTTAGTATTTTATGTAGTCCTAAGACCAGATTACTCGTCAGTCACTGATTAAATTAAATTAATAATTAATTAAATTTGTTCGTTCACGTCACGTTTTTCGCATATGTTGAATTTTTGGAAAAAGTTTGTTTACCTGATAGTCGTCCCAACGAGTTTAACGCAATTACCTCATTAACGATAGCGATGACGGATAACAGAGAGTGGCATTTTATCGAGTTTCATATTCAAGTTTTAAATAATAAATTTTCAACCTATCTTATTAAGTATTTGATTCTACAACTTAATTAGTGATGGAATTAGGACCATTGAGGGCTGAGGATACAATTTTTTTAGAGGAGAATTATTATATCTGTAATTCAACTTTTTAAACATTGGATTGTTTATTTGTTTACAATAAAAAGATTTATAAATTTTTATAGTAAATGAATAACTTATAGAATTATTATTGCAATAATAATAATACTTTTATATTTACGACAAATGAAAATATTATGAAAATTATTTTTTTCTGCTACGATTTTGAGCAAAAGTCTTCATCAACAACAATAAATCCATTTTTTTAACATGCTAATTTTCTATTGAAATTATCGCAAGATCATTAAGTCGCGTTCCTAAACATGTCCTAAAATGATGCTTGTTAGATAATTTTTAATTAATTTAATTTTTGAGGATGTCCTTTCAGCACTTGTTACAGTAACCGGTAATGTGAGATACAAGTAATATGCCTTTAGGTCAGAGAAATAGGATTAAAAACATAACATTATACTCGTATAATATATTTCACATTTATAAATAGTAATCTAAACACTATCGTGTTGACATCGGATAATCCGTACACACCTTCAATAATCACTTATCAGTATAATTTGTATTATTTCAATAATCCATTATTTTATTTAATTGAACTGATATTTTAAAATAAAAAATTTGTACAAAATTTTACTGCGAAACCTCTTTAACAATGAAGTCCGCGGAAAATTACGCCTTCAATCATATGTTGTTCCACCTCTGTACTAAATCAATCATCATTAGAAGTATAAATTAGACGAACTATTTTACTCAGAGTAGTATTTTCAAAAGCAACGGTACATTAGTTTCAAATTTAAAATACCGATACAGTATTATTATTTACCCATTCCTGTATTTCACCTGACTGTGGAGTCTTATCCGACCTAGGAGTAGTTTCGCCCTCTTTTATCTTGATTTTATTCAGGAAGTTTACCATAATGCATTTTATGTATATAAATATGATATATAGAGATATTAATGCATAATGTTATGTCTTATTTTGCCCTTCTCTTGAATTTAGCAAAAGTAACTTTTATGATTACTGATGTTCAATATAATTTTTGTAGAACTTTGATATATAGCCTTTAAACCGTTATCTTACCATTTTAATATTAATAACTATAAATGAAATATATTTGATCACAAATGTCAAAATGTTTTTATATATATAAAAAAAATTAAGTATAGAAAGCTTATCCCAGAAATTATCTCCAAATCATGTTCCTGAAAAGAAACAATTTTATTTATCGCTAGAATATTATTTTATGATAAAATGTTCTCAATATATTTTTTTCTAATGCGATCTAAAATAAAAATACAATTTTAATATTATGTTTACACGTTCCCTGTTAAGTATGCAGTTACCTGTCTCAAATAATTAAACCTCATTAGACTGTTTTCGAGATCTAACATTGAAATAACTGATTATAGTTTCAATAATTTGTTTGTGTCATTGAGCATAATACAACTTTAATAAGTATTATTTAAAAAAAAAGGACTACCCAAGATGACAAATTATAAATTAAATAGAATCAACTAAATAAAAATATAAACAAATAAGCAAATAGTTAATTCATAGATATAAATAAATGCTTACCCTAGAGTATTATTATACTTTTAAAGTATGATTATGATAGGTTTCGAATTAAATATTCATACTCAAGTAATTACAAAGTTAATAAAATCGCGACTGAATATAAAAAAATGAAATAATGAATACATATTTTATATTTTCATTATTTACTATTTATTATTTATTTTTTTATATTAAGTCTCAATTTTATTGACTTGTATACTCCTGACATTGAATTTTTAATTTAAACCAGTCGAATTTTATAAATAAAATACATTTTTTTATTATTTTATTAAAATGAAAAGGCAGGTTTTAATATTAGCAATAATTGTGTAGTTAGCTAAAAAAATAAATGGATTAGTTATTATACTAGAATATTCATCGTTTTTATAACATGTAAAATAGTAATATTTAAAATATATAATATCAGTAATTTTAATTTTATAGATAGTTATAAAATATTAATAAGCACAACTTTTTATTTAAAACAAAAGTTAAAGAATTTTATTTTACGTTAGTTTATAATTCTCAAAAGTTTGGACTATCTAAATACTTTTATTATTGTCAATTAAATATATAGATTTTTAATAAAGAACATAATATTTATATGAAATACTTTATATAGTAAAGATCAAAATGGCAAATGATGATTTTATACTGCGTCTAAGTTAAAATTTTTAATCAAATAAATGGTTCAATTTATAGAGATATAATGTTCATTGAGAATATTTGATAAAATATTTAATTGTATTATATATTTTATATATTATAAAATATTGATAAAATAATCTTAATAAAATATTGCTACAATGCTAATAATGACTATACGATATAATTATAACTTTGATCCATGGTTACTATATAGAGGTAGTTGGTTAATGCAAGTATATATTTTAATTATATATTGTACACACACACACACACACACATATATATATAAATAGTAACCATGAATCAAAGTTATAATTATATTATATATATATTACTAGCTCAACGATCCGGTTTATTTCTAGAATTGTTTTCATCACAATTATTTAATATTTATTATATGACACTATATTACACTTATTATAATCTACAAATGTATACATTTTTTTTAAAATTAAGGTTATTCAAAATTTACGAGGTTTGATTACAACTTTATATGTCGATTTAAATTTAAATTATGAATGTTGGTGCAAATTTAGTATAATAAAATTTAAAATTGTATTCTCAAAGTAACGTTTTACGTTACAGATGGACCAATTGTGATGCAATTTATTATCGTATTGCAAATGGATTATTTGATATCTATTGTAGGTGCATGATACATTTACTTAAATCAACTTATGCGTTATGATTATTTTGATTAAAAATATTTTAATTACAAATCATGTGATTTATTATGAGAAAGCTGGACCTCATTAGTTGATCATAACGAGGAATTTTTATATAATATTGGCTAAAAAATTAATTATAAGCAATATATATTATTTGATAATAATCATTTAACTTATATGATTTTATGGTATTAGTTTGTGTATATAATGAAATTAGTAAGCTTTTGTTTACTAAATGATAGATCAGATATTTAAATAACATTCGAAAAAAATAGAAATTAAATATTTGTTACAATATATGTACAAAAATATTTTTAAAACAAATTAATTTAGAAGAAAATATTTCAAAATAATTCATTTATTTCTTACTCTAAGACCACGGATGAGTGAATTATTTAGTTAAATAGTTAAAGTTAATTCAATAAGTAATAACTTTATAAGTTTTATCAGTCTAATTAATTAATTTATTAAATTTCTCAACTAGCTTAAATAATTATATTTAAACGAGTAGCTAGTTTTTTTTTAAGTTAATTCTAAAAATATTATTTGGTTCTTTCATATTTAAAGCAAAATTATTAGTAAATATTTTTTTGAGAACAATTGTCAAAATTACTGTGTTGATGCAAAAAATCAATTAATTATTATAAAGAAATGAAAAAATTAATAATAATTAATATTATTTATGAAAACTAAGTAACCACTAAAAAAGCTTATTGAAAATTAAATTGAACTGTCTCTAAACGAGTTTGATTTGAATAAGTTAATATTTTTGTAGTATAAACTTATATAATTAAATTAATTATTTATAAATATTAATCATAAATAAATGTTATAACACTTAATTTAACTTATAAATAACTCGATATTTCTATGATAAATGACTTTAGTTATAATATAATTTTTTTTTAAAAATAGGAAATTTAATGTTGTCTATGTATATGTTTATCAATTTAAGACGATTTTATTCCTGACTTGTTTGATGCGCGTAAAAAGTAATTAGTTATACGATTTTAAGGCAATCATTATTGAGCTCACTGTTGACGAACAAAATTAAAGTAATGTTTTTCCATCATGTTTTGTATTCTAAAACAATAACAGTTTTAAAGAAAAACTCATGAAAATTATATCAGTTAAAAAAATTACTACAAAGTAACAATTTAATTACTATGTAGATATTTGCAATCACGAAGTAGTATCACTTAAGACAATGTAAAATATCCGTCAGTACGTCATAACATGTAACTAAAAATATAATTTAAATAATAGTTTGTGGTTCAGCAATGACGGTGCTCAACAATGTCAAAGGTGTGACGCGTATTTAAAACAGCGATTAGTTATAAATAAGACAAATGATTTCAAATAGACATTATTTCTATGTGTGTATTAAAACAGGTTGCAAATAATTATAATAATAATAATAATAATAATAATAATAATAATATTACATATGATATGTACAAAATACTACTTGAAACTGTTTTGGGGCTAGGTCTAGGAATGAGGAGCGTGTGACGAAGGTTAGGGTTAGTCGGGCGTTTCGGTGGTCACTGGTCTGGTACTGCTCGCTTGGTCCTCTCCGATGATCTGCACGTTTCTGACTGGTGTCGATTGGGTGGTCCGTCTGTAAGTGAGCCTGGGCGTGGACCCCTCTTCGACGAACCTTTCCGGATCGTACCGCGGACTAGTGGACAACAGCATGCGGATCAGCCCATCTTTGAGAGTCTGTGTGACCCTAGGTGACGATTGTTGTTGCGCAGGGTCGACCGTCAGGTAGTCGTCTTGTTGCTGTTGTTGTTGTTGTTGGGTGAATTGTTGCTGTACAGCGATCCCAGCCACGGATGAAAGCCTCGGTGATCCTTGAACCCGAGGCCCTTGGTAGTAACTGGGCACATAATAGTTGGGCTGTTGGTAAGGCATTGGGTACGGCGAAGGCGCGTACGGCATGAGCTGCGAGATGCGCGCTTGCACGAACGACAGGATAAGTTCCATGAGCTCGTCCCTCAAGGATGCCAAATTGGGACCGTACACGACGGAGGGTTGCTGCTGGTACGGCGGCAACACCGGATACGCGGCTGGAAGATGGTACGGTTTGCTGCCGCGGTACAGCTGTTGCTGCTGCTGTTGCTGCTGCGGTTGTACTGTTACCGTTCGGTATTGCGGTGACGATGGCTCGTCATCCTCCTGGGCCTGCCTGCTGATCGTGATCCGTCGGACGAACTGGTCGGTCGGGAGCGTTGTCGGCGGCGGTGACGGTGCGGTGTCGTACGAAGCCGGAAGTGTGGTCGGCCGCGTCCTGTACGCCATGATCGGGTCCAACTCGGACATGAGCGCCGACACGATGGGTGAAACGGGACCTGATTGTAGGCTGGACCGGCTGTGGACGCCGTACACGTCGGGCGTGTCGTCTTCTTCGTTCCTGGGCAGCTGCCTGCGCAAGTCGTTGCCACCGCGGCGCCGATCGGTGTCGTCCAGTTCAGCCGGTGCGGCCATGACCGGTCTTTTGGACACCAGCACCTTTTTCACGCCGCCAGTGGACTTGCCGTCGTTGGACACCGATTCGTCGTCTTTTTTCTTCCGGGGAGGGATCGTCTGCAAGGACGACAGCGCAGCCAACGAGTCCTGCAACGGCGGCGACGGCGACGATGCACCTCCGGCTGCCTGGAAGCCGGACGAGTTGTTGGCCGAGTACGTCACCCGTTTCAGCTGCCCCGACTCGTCCACGAACCCGAACATACCTTTCACGTTGCCCGCCACGTCGCGGCTTTCCACTTTGAAGCTGCCGTCGGACGCTTCGTATCCGAACGTGTACGATCCGTCGTCGTTGACCTTGTTGATCTGCTTGATGATAGACACGTCCTTTGGCAAGGCCGTCGACGCGGCCTCTGCGGTGGCCGTGGTGGCCGCGGTGGCCGAGCTCGCCGTCGTGGTCTTCGTCGCCGCGACGGTCTCGGGTTCAGCGTCCCGTTCATCGCCGACGGACGCCGCGAACGCGGCGCACGCAAACAGTAGCAGCACCTGCGGCAAAACAACCATTGTTACGCATTGCGTTCATTGCGTGTCGTGCACGGCAAACATCATAACGTACCTGAACCGCGGTTGTGGACCTGACCATTGCTCCGGGTGAATTGACGACGGCCGCCGCGTTGCGGGTCATCTAAATAGATTTCGGCCGGGCCGCCCCGTGCGAAAGTGACGGAAAATTCGCACGGTGTGTAGTAACCGCTCGTGAGAACCCGTAAGTTTCGACAGACTTTTCTCGTTCCTTACTTTCTGTCACTCCGAGCCCCCGTTAGTCAAATAGACCTCAACGCTGCGAACTCAAAAGGTCCAAGGTCAACGAAGGTTGACTTTCTTTTCTGCCGCCGGTTCTTCCAAAACATCCCGCGTCGACGATTTGCTCGACGCGGACCTCTTCTGTGCGACCCGAGTGTATTGCATCCCGATATTATTGTTTCGTTTTTGCAACCGATTCCGTTGCACATACGTTTGTTGCGCGTCCCATCCAAGGCGATACGTGAAATTACGCCCTCCGTCCGTTACTCGGTCGGAACACGCGGATACGGTAAGCCGAGTAACGTTTCCTTAAATAGGATGAATAGGATAAATGAGGTTGAAAGTGCATGCGTAGGGTCGGTTTAGATTTATTGTTTTCGACGGTTTTTACGATTCACCTTTTTCGTATCGGTGTTCGATGTACCGTGCATACTGATTTTTTCCATAAGATCAAAATACACCGTTATGTGTATCGTAACATATTATGTTACTTTCGGTATTCCGTACCAACATTGTAAGAATAATATCGTATAATATTCGGAATAAAGAGTAATAATCGGATTATTATGGTACAATTCTATGCATACAGTTTAATACCAGTGCATGTTTATATAATCATATCAATTTAATGCATTTGTAAGAACATACTATATTTTGTTGACTCCTTCGACCACAATCAGTTTTTGATCACTGAAATAATTAATCGTTTTATTTGTAATGTATAATATAACTGATAAAAGTACTTATTTTGCTTTGATGCTGATTTCATTACCCCTGCACATTGTTTTACCGTATTCTATTGCAATTTATTGTACTGCACTACACTGAGTGTTTATTTTTAATCTAAAGAGATATCGAAAAACCAAAAGCTAAATCGAAAGTAAAGTTTATATGTTTATAATATATAAATAAATTATATTAAGAAAATTTCTTCTATATTTTCATCAACGATAAGTTATCGCATTTCATTATCTATTTATATAATAAATAACCGTGCCTGAGTCCAAGATAGTCATTTTTTAATTGATTATTTCGATTAGAGTTCTGAATCTACATAAGTAGGTGATGTTCTCCATAGTACCCGTAACTTAATAGATTTCGTGGATATTAATATTTATTTAGGAGTATAAAATCCAATAACAATAAAAACAACGATATGTGGTTGCTGCAGTGAACTATGGTTATGGTAACTCTAACAATAGCGAGCTATTGAATCTAATATTTTTAGAGAAATGTGTTTCATAATTTAAATTATTACTATATAAAACAAGAAATATAAAATAAATTGTATCAAATGACCTACATTTTATTTATTATTGAACACCAGTAGCTTCAATTGTTAAATAAGCCTTGACAGACTTAAGACTATCATTTTATGAAAAAAGGTTATATGCTCAAATTTTTAAATCACTGCAGATTTCGATCTCTGCCAACAATAAAGAATGAAGTCATAATAAATGTAGGTCTTTATAGTTGAAGTATAAATTATATTCTCTGTAATGTTCGCAAAATTACGTACAAGTTATAACTCGAATAATATAAGACAATAAAATATTATTATGACGATAGCTAAATTTATTATTTACCCAAAATATTAATATTATAGTTTTTTATATTTTTGATTTTCAGTTGTACTCGTAATAAAACTTAGTACATTGGTAGTTTTATTGTTCTGATAGTGAAAATTGAACATGGTTAAATTTTATTATGAATCAAAATATATAATCTCTTATAATTAAGTTTAAAAATATTTACTCAATCGTGAAAGATCTTGTAACAAGACCGTACAAAGAGTAATTCGGATTACGATGTATTATACATTTATTTTATAATGTTTTAGTAACATGTACTTGATATTAAGATCTTTTTATCAACATTTGTACACCAAATCAGTAAATGAAATAACATAATATTATAATAAAATATTATTATAAAACACAATATTATAGTTTTTTTGCTATTTATTTTGTAATTTTAAATAATATAACTATTATTAAATTCAATTTTTTATTGAGAATTCGAATAATGATTTTCCATCATAATACACGCACACACATTTTAATTATTACACTAAAGTAAGAGTAAATACAATCCTTCGTTGAGCTCCTTGTAAAAAATGGTTAGGAAAAAAATATGCCTTTCATTCATAAGATTTTTAATCACCATAAAGATATGATATTACGAATAAATGCCCAATAAACTTAATTAAATTAGGTACTATAATTTGTTTCAATAATTTATTTATCTGTTGAGGAATTAGTTTATGCGATGGGAAATATAATGAAAAAAAAAATTAATAAGCCTTATAACTTAATTATAATTATATTTATATACTCGTCAAAAAAATTTCTCGCCAAGTAAATAAATTATTGAAACAAATAACAATTAATTTTGAATTTTTTCATTATCATATCTTTATATAATTTTAAGAATTTATACATTTTTTTTCTATGCCTTATTATTTATAATGTTTGACGAAAAATTGTTTTTATTGAGATATCAGTAGTTATTTTTTATAAGTTGTGTAGATTTATAATATAAAATTTAAATTTATTAAATGTCTATAGTTATGATTATTTATTCATTTATATATCACATGAAAAGTGACTGCGTTCTTTAAAAAGATCTAATTTCCTAAATTATAATAAAGAATTTTACTGAATTTTTTTATCATAATATAGAGCAGTGGCGCCGAAGTGTTTTAAAAATACTATGACATTCACATCAATTGGCCACTCACTTCCATATTTATTTATCTTTATAGTTAAAATTTTTTATACATAACATTTTCACAGCCAGAACCCAATTTCCAAAGGAGGACACCCAACTTACAAAATATAATATGACATATAATGTACAGTGTATGCGACCATTTTACTTTACATGATTATTTAAATTTTATATTAATATTTACGTATAATCGAGAAATTTCAAAAACGTTTAACTCGATAGATCATTTTTAAATCAACTGTGAAAAGCTATGTTATTTCAATTGCCAATTAAACTAGTTAAGTTAAAAAGTTAAAAAAAAATTAACTTTAACTTTTTAACTAGTCCATGACCACCTTTGGTTATACTTACTTAGCTTTTCACCATTCGCATCGCACTGTATGTATCCGTCTTAAATACGCTTAGTCTTTAAATTCCTTTCTAATTAGGTACTATTTTAATAGTGTATCCCACCTTAAAGGTTTTAAACGGTGATAACTGATCGATATTGAATAGACTCATCCTACAAGTTAACGAGATGATAAAACTTATTTTCCGATGAAATATTTAAATTTCAAAAACTATAATGCATTACAAACTGTTAAAGTCTGATAAATGTTTTGTTGTTGTTACGTATTTTTCGAGTTAAAAGGGATAATCGTGCACGGAGACTTCTGAAATAATCCTTACGACTACCATACAAGAATCTAAAAATTTACGGATCGCTGTTCTGATCTTACAATGATCGTTACATACGATATGGAAGACCGAGTATCATGTAATTATGCTATCAACGAATAATGTTCGGTATCGACGGAAAGTGTTAATTAATCCGACATATGAGGCAAGGGCGTCCGCCTATACACGAATGTTCGTTAATATTTATAAGTCGTTTCGGACTGGCGAATAAACGAATCGGTTTTCCGTCAAGGTTTGTGTCAACAGTATTCAACACGGACAAAAATATAATGAAATTATACCTAATGTTTGCGCCACGTTATAGAACATAACATCCGGCTTCGGTCCGGTGTAATATATGATATTGTACGTATGAACCGCGCGCGCGCATATTTGTGTCTACTTATATATTATTATCAGAGCTAGGATTTGTATGCAATAAAAAATTGTAAAATATGCATTTTATTTACCAAAATATGCAAAAATATGCATTTAAATTTTTTATAAATATATATAATAAGATAAACACAAAAATTTAGTTACAAAAAAAAATAAATATTTATTTATTGAAATACATCAGTAGTTGGCTGTTTGTCTTAATATAATATAATTGAAAAATAAAATAAAATAAAATCATTTAGAAATAAAATGTATAATTTAAATTCACTACGTGTGTTACATGCTGCGAGCACATATTTTTAAATTTTCGAAAACGAATGATCGGCGATTGAATGGTAGTATGGCTTTGTATTGACTGAAGCTCTCTTCAACGTCACATGATGTAGTTGGCGAAATAAACATTCATTTTTCGCATTCTTAAAATCGAAACATGCAATAATATGCATTTTATCCAAAATATGCAAAAACATGCAAAATAAAAACACCACCATTTATCTCATCATGAGATGATTCATGGACATTACTGACAAAATCAATATTCAAAAGTCGCAAAAGAAACATGCTGTTGCATACAAATCCTAGCCCAGATTATTACGAATCGACGTATGTCGTCGTGTCGGGTCTGCAGATTCAACTGCGTTTGATTATTTGTGCAAGCCAACGGGTTATAGCAGGGGTTGGTCACTGGCGGACTACGGTCTGGATCCGGACCGTGGAAGACAATAATCTGGACCTTGTCAACTTTTATTTTCATACTCCTGATATTGTAATTTTTAATATAAATTAAATGTAACAGCCAAATAATAATTTTTATTTTTGCACTGCTATTTTTAAAATATAAAGATTTGAAAAAGATTGTTTTCACTGGACCTCATTGATTTATTATTTTAATCTTTAGAACTCCAATATAAATTACTTGCTGACCCCTGGGCTATAGTGTTCTGATCGGTGTACGGAGAGACGGTTTCCCTACGTCTACGATTACTCTATACGACCAGCACGTGGACATATGAGTGTATGAATGTATGCATAATATGTACACGACCAATGACCTGTTCGAAACAATTTCGTGTGCAATAACGTCGCAAATGAAAATGCATGTGTATACACAACGTGCATGTGTATACGAATTTTTATACGCAAGTGTACATAATAGTATTATACGAACCGACCGCCTCGTGAGAATGACAGTCTTGTGACCCCGTTCTTACGCGTGTGTTAACTGCCATATTATTATTATTTTGTGTACGAATTTCACTGGGAAAATAATTTCCATTCCATTAAACGGTCATCCGGTTGCTCAATAATAATCATAACTGTTTTGTAAAACCCCATCGGTTCGTTTTTTTCCGTTCGTTTATTGCTGTTT